GGAAGGAGCCATGGTTATTAAGGCGTCACTGCACAAAATCATCTCTATAAGCAATCTTCTTTACCTGAGCTGCCTCATAACACTTGCTAAGCAGATGCGTCCTTGTAACTACACAGCTCCAACCACAAAGCTAAAATCAGCTGTTTTTTTGATAATTATTACTCCTATTGTTTCCCAGTGTGCCTAAGCCATTAGTAGGGACTTCAGGGATAATTGGATTGATGTGTGACACACAGAAGTGTGTTGCAAGGAGGATGCAGGATATTGTAGCCCCCAAGAGATCTTGTTAGAGCTTGGAGAGCAAACATGCAGAGCAGATTGCTTGTATCTTTGACACAGTAGGTGGAGGGAGAAGTAGATGGACACAGTGCTCTTGTGACCGTCTAAACTAAAGTCTGAGTATATGTGCTTGCAAGGCTGTGCCAGGTGCAAACAAAACCCATATGTTTTTTCTGATTCTGCATTTGAGAGCCTCTCCTTTTTATTTTTTGCTGGAGCCTGCTTAGCTGAGTCATGCTGTTATTCACTTTGGGACTCTTTCTGTACTTTGATACATGGGAAGGTCATGTGGATTATTCCAGTGGCAGCCGGTAGTCAGATGTGTTGCCACAGCCAGCTACCTAAGTATTAGCAGAAGTCTGAAATAATGCAAAGCAAAATGTAGCCCCAACAAATAGCAGTGTAGATAGGTCTTGGTAGCGTGCATATTAAAACTGCATTAACTCTGATGGCAATAGGAGCAGCAGGAAAGGCTATATTTTATAATCGTGAAACTCCTTCTCCTGGCCAGAAATAGCAGCACACCTTGAAAACAGATAGTTTTATTAAATTTTGTTTCTAAACCTAAGTAAACTCATGTTTGTTGGCACCACCGACATCAAGGACAGTGCAGAGAGGTACTGTTCAGGAGGTAGCACAGAAGTAGGGTATACTTCAGGGAGGGGTGCTGGCACTGGTGAAGGTAAACCATGATGCCACCCCAGCAGTATTTGATTGTCTCCAGTTTTCTGTGGGATGTACAGTAAGAGAAGTTTGCTGTTTCTGCCTGTCCCCATACCATGTGCCGAAGATCATTCACAACCTATGTATGGGAGGTATTTATTATAGCTTGTCAGGTTTTGGAAACTTACAACTGATTTTCTTATATGTCACCACTTTTTTCAGAGCAACGCTGTTTTTTGTACACAGAAGGGATTTTTCTTGGGCCTAGGTGATGCAGAATGGACAGGTTTTTAGCTCAACATCAAAGAGAGGAGGAATTCAGCCCTGCAGTGTACAGCGCTCATGTTTCTTCTCCAAGGTGGACTACCAGTTCTCATCTGGCTCTGGCTTCTATCTTCTTAAGATAAGAAATATGGTCTAAAAATGAAATCAAGTGAAGGTGTTGGGTAGCACATTTGAAGGTGGAGAAGGCCTCTGGAGTTTTCTTACAAGCTCAATATGGCTGTGAGTCAGCTATTAGCAACAGCTAATGGCTATTGACAACCCATGATTTTCACACCCACCAATGACATTTTGTCTAAAATTTTCAGATTTCAGGTGTGAAACCAACAACAATTTTATAAAAACCAGAATCAGTAATAGGTGACTGAGGGTAATTATCATACTCATTCTGCCTTTGACAAGTAATTCAATGACCCCATTTCATCTGGATGAAACCACACTTTAAGGCGCTTTAAGAAATTACCCTTCAGTTTGAGCTCAGTGCATATTCAGAAAAGGGCAGCTCTAGCTTCTTGTCAGCACAGGTGATGGCCTCAGCTTGCATCCCAAAAATGGTTTTTCATCACTAGAATATCAGTCATAGCCAGGTGAAATGCTGGCCTGTAACTGTAATGTGGCTTAGTGCATTCAAAAAATGAAATGTAACTTTATGGTAAGTGCATAGTCTGGCAAATAAGCAAGTGTGGAAACAGTTTATGTACCAGTTTGCTCACATTGACGAAAAGGTCCCAGCAAAGGGGAAGTTTGAAAGGATGTGAGCTCAACTGCCTCTGATACACAAAAATTTCCATCTGTTGAATTCTCATTGTCTTAATTAGAGAAGAAATATACAGGAAATAGCATTTTTGAACCCAAACAACTACTTCCAAAGACCATTGCCTGAGCTTATTACTTGCTAATACGTGAGAGGGATCACTAAGTGACACAGCACAAAGTTCCCAGACTTGAATTTTTCTTAAACTGTTTCATACTGCCAGGAATTGCTTCGGAAATCACCTAATTTTCCAGGTTTTCTTCACCTACGTCAGAGAGCTAAGTATACTTGGAGCCTGCTTCATACCACACAGAAGACTGTAGTTTTTACCAGTTAGCTTAACTAACTAAATAGATTTACAGAACAATTGTCTACTTTTCGCCTGCAGCACTTTGAGGTTTATACTGATTGAAAAAACAGTTCACTGTACAAAATTGGGTCTTGGAGTAGTGCAGAAATGATGAACAGAATGAGTTTCTATTCATTATCCCACTTTCACGTCTAGAAATGTGTAATGGTCACTTTTCCTTGCCATCACCACATGTGTGGTGGAAGCAAACGATGACAAAAGAGCCTCCTGTGCAGCAGGGAAGAGCAGGGCTGAAAAGGACTTAGAGACAAGCCCCTATTAAATTACACAGCCAAGAGAATTTGCCCATTTACTTTAAGAGAAGGGATTTGACCCTCATGCTAAAGCTATATTAGTGTAAAAGGACTTTATTTTCCCAAGAAAAGGTGTATTTGTCGGCCTGCTTTTTGGAGCCAGTAGCTTGACATTCAGAAGGTTTAGAGACATAAGAATGATGTCTAGAAAAAATTGAATGCAGTTTTAAATGGGTTTGTACTCTAAATGCCACTGCACACAAGTCTCATGCATCTGAAAAATGTGCTGTGACTTCACGTAAGTATCTTGTGTGCCATCTGAGGGACCCTTTCCCACAGTTTGTTAGGCTCTGCACTTCATTAGAGAAGTCTTAACCAAAAACTCTTAATCCTGGCAGCTTTCCTAGTAGAATCAATCTTTTGAGGATCTGGGTGATCAGTAATGACAAAACCAGCCTTGGTATTAGTATTTCACTTGATAAATTGCAGAGATCTAGGCTTCACTTACATTTGTCAACAGTGACTTTCCAGTAAAGTGCAAGGTATTTGAAAAATTACCTCTAATGTTTCAGGCTAGGGGGGGAAGTACTTTTTCAAACTATGAGAACGTTTCCCTCATGCACCATTAAACCAACTGGGGAGAAAGGAAAGGAGGACAGGGGTGGCAGTACACTTGAGTCTCTAAAGGTAGGGTTGAATAGCCACATGCCAGATTATTTAAGTTTTAGTCTTGTGAGCCATGCCATGTAATGATAAAGTGTTTTGGTTAATGATACAGTGAGCCACAAAAGAGTAAGAGTTTCTTTTCTTTAAAGCTGCCCTTTCTTGCCTGCCATGTCTGGGACTGTTCTAGTTCTCACCTTGTTCCTTATTTGTGTGTGTGCTATGCTGGATCCCACCCACCTTTTGCGCATATCCTCAGTGATGTGTCTACAGGACCTACTGCTAGTCCCCATCCTCTCTCTCTCTCTCTCTCTCTGCATCCCCCGTCTCTCCTGCAGACACAGATGCCACCTATGTGGCGCGTTACTCAACTCTGTCTTGCCTCTGTACTGTTCCTTTTGTGCAACCTAAAACTCAGTCTGGCTCTCCAACATTTTGCAATGGGGTGATTTGCAACAGCTTTTCATCATCCTCAAGGTCCTCTCTGCTGCCCCCTTCTTTGGGGGACGTTCTCCCCACCGGTCACTGCTGCCCGCAGGCTAAACGCAAGTGTTGTCTGAGGATGCTGTTCCAGGATAGGCACTTCCAGAGGGCAAATTTTTCCATCTGTTTCTAGCATTGTCTTTTGATTGTTACAATTAGAAGATATGAATGCCACCCCAAAAAGCCTGGTTAACATTGATAGAGAATGAAGTGAAATGTGACATGTGTGACCTCTGCTGGCTTTTCAGTGGGGAGATCAGCCAAAATGTTGTTGCTGCTAAATGGTAATTCTGGTTTTCTTTGAATACTGGATGTAAACTGGAAGATGTAATGTGGAATTTAAATGGCAGGGTTAGATGGCAAGAGTTCAGATGTTACCTGTGCTGGTCGCACTGTTAGATCAAAGGTCTCTGCAGCTCACAGAAGGGGAACACTGCTAAGCAGGATTTTTTTTTTACCAATTTACAAGGTTTTTTCTCTGTGGCACTTCCGTTAAAAATATAAAGCACAGAGTGAAAACAAAACAAAAACTATTACTGAATTACTGATCAAAATAAACCTGTTTCTGGAAGGTGACTAGACTCAGGTATGGATGGGGGAGCCGGTGGGATGTTCCCCTGGGCTGGATGAGCCCCTCTGTGGTGACCTTAGATTTCGCAGTGGGGTGGGATGTGTCTTTCCCAGTACTTTTCTCAATGTCTGCTCCACACCTTCCATGACTGTTCAAATTGTCCTCTGGATTTTGGCTCTCAATCATGTTGTCTTTCCGAAATTACCAGCTTCCCATGTCAGGGTGAGCCCATCTCCTCTGTGTCTTTTGTCTTATTATAATGCCACCTCAAAGGTGGCATTCCAAAGGTGGGAAGGCATTCCCCAAATTTGTGACAGTTACTGCTGTGTAATCAAAGTAGGGCATAAGATAAAAAAGTTAGTGCATGTATTTCATAGCTTATTTCTGAGAATGACAGAAGGAGTTCAACAAATTTGGAGATTTTTCCCAGTGACATGCTGGACCCTGATGTATTTAGTCTAGGTGTTCTATCAGTACAAAAATTTGCTTCACATTCCAAGTCCTAATGGACAAAGCCACTGTTCTCCACCTGCACACAAACGTATAAAATTCCTGAGGTATGGTCAACAAGGTACACAAGGGGAGCTGTTTACTATGGGGATGGAGGACTAACTGGTCAAAAAAAAAAAAAAAAAAAAGGAATCGTCTGAGGGAAGGGAACCATGTGCTGAGTTACATGAAAATCTTTGTTTCTAACTCTAGGTCCTTCTTCAGTTATCAGCAATGACGACGATTCAGCTAGTCCCCTCCACCACATCTCAAATGGCAGTAACACTCCGTCTTCTTCTGAGGGCGGTCCTGACGCGGTCATCATTGGGATGACAAAGATTCCTGTCATCGAAAATCCCCAGTATTTTGGAATTACCAACAGTCAGCTCAAGCCAGACACCTGTAAGTACAAACAACTGTATGTGTTTCAGTCATTCATTTTACCTGTGCAAGTGCTGGGGCTGTTTAACAGAGCTGGCAGAACAAAATGCTCTAAATTCCTGGGAGTTGAATGTTGGGGTTAAAATGTATGCAATTTGTTAAGGTACATGGGATGAACCGCTTTACATCTGTCAAAGCCAAATTCAGCCCTTGTGATGAGTCAATGAAGTCAGCAGTGTTACGCTTAAAGCCCGATCCATATTCCATCAAAGTCACTGGTAGCCTTTCCATTGATTTCAGTGGTCTTTGGCCGGTCCTGTGCGCTGAATGTGTTCTTGGGAGAAAATAAATCCTGAGTCAGAAGCAGAAGGCAGTATTGCTACATACACACTGCTTTTAAATTGATCTTATTGGCAATTAACATAACCTAACTTTGAAATCTGAGTATCTCTAAAGCTATAAGAAAGATAATGGTGAAAACTTCCATTCTTTTAATTTCATTGTATAATTCAACCTCTACAGCTGGAAAATATGTTGAATATTTAAAAGTAGAGCAGAAGGTTGCATGATAGACAATAAATGTCACATACAAATTCTTTCATGTTCAGTTAGAATCAGGTGAAATGTGAAAAAATACTGAGTTAAACATAATTAACTATGAATGGTTCAAAAAGAGTGTCCCTAACTTCAGATGCTGCTCTTCAGACCTAGTAACAGTTTTAGAATTGGACATACGAAATGTTGATTTTTGAACCAGTGATTAGCATTGCAGCAGATAACTGAAAAAATACCTAAAGGATACTGTCTTTAATAGTAACTGCACTGCTACTAGTTTTCATCCGTACATTAAGGTCTTACGTGTTTCAGAGAGGGTTGTTCCTGCCTCTTTTTTCCTCTTTTTTTTTTTGTGTGAATTTCAGAATGTACATACATTTCTGAAGTGTTACTGGAAGTCTGAACTGTTTCTCTGGGAAGTCACTCTAGAGATTTGTAGTATAGCTGGTGAGCATTAGGCTTGCAACTAAGGGACACTGTATCCTATCTGTATCCTACCATGAATGATATCGCTTCATAGCACAAACTGTAGTCTAGGGGCTTACTGCCAAGGCCAGAAGCTTTTGCCTCCAACTTTGCAGAGCTTAAATTCTGTAATAGGAATCTTTCTTGACCTGTGCACAAGGGCATGCATGCATCTGTGTATGCATGACTTCTAAGGTTGCAAAGACTGATGCTGAACGACCTGTGTATCTTGTGAATATTAATGCTCACCTATATCTAGATTGTTGCACTGAGTACAGTCCACAGAAGGCTGCTGCTGTAACACAACAGAAGGCCTTTTTCTGCCTTTTTATTGTACACCCCTGATGTTTGCTCCTACCATAGTTTTTTTGTGTGGCACTATTTTGTGGTTAGAAATGCCCTGTTATCTCTTCTACCAGAGGATATTTGAATAATCTGGCCTAGCATATGCAGTGGGATGCGTAAGGTAATCACTGAATTGCTGATACTTGGTCAGCACAAGGAAAATGTTATACAGATGCATTCTGATTAGAACATTAATTCCTGTGAAGAATAGAAGCTGCTAGGGAATCAGAAATGGGCAACATGCCCACTAGAGCTCTCTAATGTTATATAAAAGGCCATGCTTTTAAATATGAGGCTACTGTACCTCCGTTCCCAGCTGCATTAGACAACATTATAATTGTTTAAATAAACATCAGTGACTACAGAGTATTTAACTTTCAGCATTAATGTTGAAAAAACATATGTGCTGTTCTGGGGAAAAACCCAAACTGTACCAAAACACAGAATTCTCTCACATTTAGTAATCTGCACATTAAGTACAGACACATTAAATCATGGCTGACTAGTGCTAAGTAGGTCCCGATCCTAAAAATACGTAAGTCTGTGTTTGGTTTTGTGTGCTGCAATGAAACCCACATGGTGTCAGGGAAATTAATCACAGTACATGAAGTTCAGTTTGTGCATAAATGCTTGCAGGATGTGGCTGGAGACTTTGCTATGGTGCTCTGGGAAGGTGATGCTGATGCTCTGCATTCTGCCACATTGCCATGGTGGTCACAGTCTTTGTGCTTTTCTTGCTTTAGCAAAGAGAATCAGGTAAACTGTGGCAGTGTATAAACCAAGGCAGATTTCTCCTACCACACTGAGCATCTGTCCAATAAAGAGCATAATTAAAATTGTCTCACACAAATATGGTATTCCCAGAAATAATTTCACATATGCTCTCTTTCCATCTCTCTCACTTGCTTATTATTACAGAGCTGTACTTGTCCTTTCTTAACCTGCCAACCTCCTCCTGATGTGTATATCTGGTGTTTATAAACGTCTAAGCTAAGTAGCTCTCATACCTTTTTCCTGTTTACAATAATGCCAGCTCCAGATGTCATCTGGTTTCTCATCTCCAGCAAGATAATTAACATTTATGTTTATTTCCTATCTGGTCTAAGTTCCATTGTCTGCGAGCATTAAACACAGCAACCACTGACAGTCATGCTGGAAAAGATTCTTATGTATTTAGTGTATGTTGGTCTGTGGAAGGAGGTGAGACTTCGAGCTAGGTGAAACTGTACACAGATCGTATTGCAGCTTTCACAGAAGTTGGAGTACGCCTGCTGTGAGTAGCAAGTGGAGTTTCTTTTTTGTTATCTACTTAAGCCATATTGTGACTTGTCTACAGCTAACCATTTCTGAATACAGCATATCAAGCTCCATCACAAAGCATTAGAAGTTTATGTGTTTAAAAGAAAACTAAAAAGTTGATTGCCGTCAATTTAGTTTGAAATCCCATAACTGTATCAGTAAATGTGTACTTGCTACTGAATAACTAAATCCCAAAGAGTGATGGCTTCTAAAGAGTCAGTCTCAGGCTAAAAGTTATAGCACTTTCCTTCTCTTGAGAGACAGCTTTCAAGGTGGGAAAAGGAAACTGAGGAAGACCAAAGACCCACCAGGAGATGAGGTTCCAGTCATCACTCAGAACAACTGAATTTCTGTCCCAGGTTTCAGCACAAATGCTTATCTGTACCTATAATTGACATAATGGTAGAAAATTGCTTTTCATCTTCCAGCTGGAATTGGCTGATATTTCCCACTCCAGCTGCTCATCGTCTTAACTACCCATTTTCCTCACCAGCAAACCCACTGATGCTTCTTCAGCACTTGTCTGTCTGACACTGTATCCCAGCACTCCTGGCTTTTCCTTTCACTGCTATGTGTCCTTGGTTGCTGCTGGCTGGTGAGCTCATCTGCCACTCCCAATACCTGGAATATTTCCACCTTGAAAGTTTACAGTCTGTGGTGCACAGAGATGCTTCAGACACGTACCAGACTTCTTAGTTCCTTTTTGTGTGAAATTAAAAGGTATTTCCTCTTTGGCAGTACTTGGCTAACAGTGACAACTCTGGTTTCAGATGTGTGACAGAGAGTCTGCAGCTTGGACATGATGAAATGCTCTTTGCACTTAAGTCATGATAAACCAGGTTGTACTGTATTAGCGTCAGCCTGCAAATGTCTTGCCTGACAATTACCAACACTGTTCAGTTGTCACTGTTGAAAATTGGGCCATAACTTTGTAGTGAAGTAACATCACCAGGTGCAGAAACCTTGCATGGATGGCAAACCTTGGAAAGATTTTTGTCCCCTGAAATCAACTGGATGATCTAATATCTTGTGGGCATAGATGCTAACTATTGCTAGATGGTTAGCTTCACTAATCTTAGGAGCTGTCACAGCCCCTAAGCTATTTGGTATTTTCATTAATACAATGATATTTCAAAAATTAGTCTTCTACATCTCTGCACAGAAGTTGTAGTTGCTAAAGTTGGTGACCAAGCCTTCCAGACCTGTTGAAACAGGACGGAAGAAACAAAGCCATTTTTCCCATGAATGGCTATGGACTTTCTTCATTCATCACTTAGCTTGCAACCCAGCGCTTGAAATATATCAGCCTATTACTATTACATTTCCATGATTAATGGTGGAAATGCAGTCAGTAAATAACGTTGCTGTGTTGGTAGTAATGTGAAAGCAAAACCTGAGGAGAGGCTATGCATAAAATGTCAGTGGAAGTGGCCAAGTTGAGACTCTCAGGGCAGAACTTGGGTAAGAAACTGCTTGCAGGTGGTTTTGGGATTTTGGGAATCAAGTTGTTCTCTGACTCTCACCCCAGCAACCCCCACCCCTGCCCCATGAAGTCACCATAGTTGTTTGGGTGCAACTGAAAGGAAGGCTGGAGCTTTGCCCTTTCATGGCGAGGTTTGCAAGCTCCAGGTTTCAGGCCTCCTAGGGTGGATAAATAGCAGCTGCACTGACATCAGTTTGCACTTCCCAGCTAATCCATACTTGCAACTCATTCGATTTCATCCCTAAAGATATTATTAGTGATGGAAAATAGCATACTGGGCAGGCTTGTTGATTAGTCAGTGGGTGGTCTAGTGGCAAGGTGTTTTCAGGGGCTGGCCATACATATAGCCATTGCATTTCAGATGATGTGGTGTGGATTGTGGCTTTCAGATGGGAAATTTGGGTATGTAAATAAAGTAGTCCTAATATTTTGTCTGTATTTCTGCAGTTTGGGATTGTGTTCTTTTGAGTACAGGAGTGTGAATGTGCAGTTTAGATAATAATTATTGAACTTCCAGTCGGCCTCTGTTAGGGAAAGTCTGCAGCTGATTACAAGTTGGTAGAAATCATTTTTTTATAATTAATTTTGATTTATTTTGCTGATCTGAAAAACTGAATTTACAGTCTATAGCTACAGTTCCACAGTAAAATTGCTAATTGCATGTGTGATGCTAATTTTAATGGCAGAAGTTTTGAGAGCATCCCTCTTCTATCCCATTTTGAACACTGAACTTTTCAATTTATGCTTAGGGATTTTCATTTACATTTTAGGGATTGTTACTCCATTTAGTTAAAGGTGATCACAGCCTTTTTCTGACCTTCCTTGTTCTTTAACTATAGATTTCTTTTTAACATATACATAGCCAGGCTTTGGT